CCGGTACCATAGACTGGTGAGGATCCAAGTGGCTAAGCAGATCACTAACCATTTCTTCTCGGATTTCAGGGGGGCTATTTGGCTTCCTTTCTCTGTCTATCAGCTCTAGAGGCCAGTTGTCCTGAGGACAACCTGTCCTAATATTAAAAACTGAGGCAAAGAAGGTGTTACGTACCTCAGCCTTTTCCTCATCTTGGGTCACTCTGTTCCCTCCCATGTCCAACAAGGAATGAAGGTTTTCCTTGCCCTTCCTTTTGCTATCAAGATATTTATAGAAGCACTTTTTGCCATCCCTGACAGAAGTGGTCAGATTTAGTTCAAATGAAATACATCTTTTTTTCCTTCTGCTATCAAGAAAATTTTCTAGTTAGAGAAAAGGGAAACAGTTTTGAAATTGAAGTAAGTTTGGCAAGAGCATTCAGTCTTCGAAGTAATTCTTCTACTTAAGTCAAAGAGAGAAACTGACACTGATGTAAGCGTAACAGGCCAGCAACACAATACATGCAAATCAGAACCAACAGCAACAGATTATAAATACTGTGCTAGGCTTTGGGACAGGTTCGAACACAACAGAAAAGTACTTGGAACAATTCTTGGGAGAGAGGATGTCTGCTCTGCAGGCAAGAGAGAGGAGGCAAAGGGCTTAAATTACAAGACAATTATGGTGGGAAATAAAATACCTTGAAAGCCAAAAAAACCACATTGTGTGGCTCAGATTTCAAGTGTGGTTTTTTTGGGGGGAGGGGTTTTTTTGGTGGATTGGGTTTTATGTTTGTTGTTGTTTTTTGAAAGCTGATAAGCCTTACCATCTTTCTAGTAGTTTTCTGGAATAGAAAAACAGAACAAAACAGCTGAAGAAGCTGTGTACATAACAGGAAGAAAATAAATTCTTGGGAACATATATGAGAGAGAAATGGAGGGAAGAACAGGATGCTACAAGGACTGAGGCAAATTTTGTTCTACAGACTCAAGTTGGAATTTTTTTAATTTGTTTTTAAGTGAAGAAAGTACTACTGCTCCTCCCTATTTCTCACTGGAAGCAACAAAAAACCCCTGAGAAGTACAAAAGTATTTCCACACAGTTTGGCCTAAAACAAACTAAAGAAATTAACTTAATGAAACCACATTTTATGAAGGAGATTAATTCTGACAGTTTCTCTTTCCTTTTTTGTTTGTAAACATGGTCACAGTGTAACACAATAGGTATACTGGAATAGAGCTAGAAAAGCCATCAGATACATAGAATTGGATTATTTTACTACTAAAAACCATGCAGGTTCTTATTGTAAAAACATTAATGTAGAGTCAGTAACAGATGTCTAAAACATACCAATACAGCTGTATGTTAGTCACAGAATATACTTAAATGTCATGTGACAGTGTTTGACAAAAGCAATGAAAACTGTATCCATTGTTGCAATATATATGCATCTTTTACAGAAAAATACTTACATATATCTGGATCTTTACTTTTCTTTGTTTTGTTACTAAGACTTATCTCAAATCTATTAATATCAGATGAAAGATCACTGGGGAAAAAGACAAAAAGCCTCAATTAATACTACACTTGGCCAACATTTAAATTTATTCTAAAGCTATTTCAATCCTGAGTTCTCATGATCAGCCAAAGACAATCATATTAACAAAGATACTTAGATGCATACATAAAATTCTAGACATGAATTTGTGGCTGCTATATAACCATGCATACAGTATTTTTAAAAAGCATATACAAAACAGTACAGTGTAAAGAATTTTAAATGCAATGCAACTTTTGTGTGAAATTCACTAAATTAAATAAGATTAAGACTTACTCAAAGACAAATTCTTCTGACCATACAGGGTTCTGCCCTTCCCTGATATGTGTTTTTGCTACCTGGACACTGTTCAGGTAGATGTTACAATACGGATTAGTAAAATGTTTTACTGGGAGCGTATGAGCTTCTTCTACATGCAAGATAAGACTGCTGACCTAAAGAAAACACACAAAATTTATTTATTTAAGAAAGAATGGGATCCACCCCATGTGACGGCTTAATGTTAAGGTAAAAATATTAAATACAAAATCTAATTTCCTAATAGAAAGAGCAGGGAACAGGAATAATGAAATAAGATTTTAAGAGGCACCACGGACAAATTAAGAGCAACAACTTGAAAATAAACCTCCAGCACCATAGTTTTAACTCATCTTACTTTTTTTACTTTTAAAACCATCACTACAAGGCATTAAGATTTGCAAGTACTAATTTTTCTATTCTACTGAACTCAGATTTGTATCTAAAGAACAAACCATGGACAAATCCAAAAACAATGCCAAATTTGGTGCTTTCCTAACAGATTAGGCTCAGTAGGAGTCAGCAGTGTGCCCTGGCAGCCAAGAGGGCAAACCACATCCTGGGATGCATCAAACAGCATAACCAGCCAGTCAAAAGGGATGACTTTTCTGTTCTATTTAGCACTGGAGTGGCCTCACCTTGAGTACTGTGTGCAGTTCTGGGCCCTACAATTTAAGAATGTTAAGGTCCTTGAATGTGCCCAGAGGAGGGCAACAAAGCTGGTGAAAGGGTTGGAAGGAATGTCCTATGAGGAGCAGCTAATGACTTTGGGTTTGTTGAGTTTGGAGGGAAGGAGGCTGAGGGATGACCTCATTGCTCTCTACATCTTCCTGAGGATGGGAAGTGGAGAGGGAGGTGCTGATCTCTTCTCCCTGGTATCCAGTGATAGGACATGTGGAAATGGTTCAAAGCTGTGTGGAGGTGGTTTAGACTTGACATTAGAAAACATTTCTTTACCAAGAAGGTAGTCAAAATCTGGAACGGGCTTTTCCTAGAGACATGGTCAATGCCCCAAGCCTGCCAGCATTTAAGAGGCATTTGGACGATGCCCTTAATATTAATGCTTTAACTTTTCGTCAGCCCTGAATTGTTCAGGCAGTTGGACTAAATGATCATTGTAGGTACCTTTCAACTGAAATATTTTATTCTATTCTAAGCAACAGTAGATTACATAAAATTCCCTTGTTTAACACACTACACCTTTCTCCCTGTTAAAAGGAAGATATTATTCTGTACCACAGATTCTCAAAATAAGAGCACTTGGAAACACAATTTCCAAAAAAATGAGAAGTGAACACCCTAAACTCATTTACATTTCATACATTTTAAACAGTCTACTATGCTACAAACTTCTTAATTACATGCAATTCATTGCTTAATCAAATATCTACTGATATTAACTGAAGTCAATTTAGTCAGATACAGGAAATATACTTGATCAGGTCAGAATTTCATTTAAATGCAAATATTCAGTACCAGAAATTTCAAAGGACAGTTCAAAAAACCCTGAAACTGATATAACTTCTGTAAGACAGTCATGGAAGTATGATTTTTAATCTTTATACACTTCATCTACCTTGATCATTCATGCTTTTTATGCTTTTCACCTCTCTTAAATAGAACAATAACTCCCACACTTATTTACTTGGAACTTCTTTTACTCATTCCAGCCTATAATGAAAATAATTTTCTCATTTTCTTTATACATTTGATATAAGATTATAGAAATTAACTGTATCCTAAATGAGAATACCATAAATATTAAATAGCATCTGTTTTTATACTATACTAGTATATACTAGCAAAGCATCTGTCAATTGCCTAAAAAACATTTTGTTCTTTGTGTATATAGATATTATAAGAGTAGAAGTCATTCCAGTTGGTTTAACAAAGGTACTGCATAACTCCAAGAAAAAGAAAGGACATGCAAGACTTACTATTGTTGAAAGGAAAGTTCTAAGATATATCACCATCATTTTGCAACAAGGAGGCAACCTCTCCCCCTCTTCCCCCCACTCCATATCTATATAGCTTCACCTGACGTAGACGTTTGTTTGATGTCCCTGGACTGTTTTTTCTTAAACTGCAAAACATCTGCAGAGCCTTCATCCAGTCCTAAGAGATAAAGGTGCAAAACGGTGTCTAACAAAGTCAGATTCAGCATCTTGCAGTGGAACTGACATGTCAAAAAGTATGTGAATTTGTTTCCTTAGCTTAAAAATAACCAACTTGCATGCAACTCAAAGTATGAAAATTTGAATAGTAAAGCAAAATTCATATATTTCTCAGCAAAACTAAATAAACATTTGCAAATCTGAAAGTTTCTCTTTTAGAAATATTGAGCATTACTAATGGATATACAGTGTGACCTTTATCAATTTTCCAGGCTAGTCATACTGAATTAAATAAAAAATGGTATATAAAATAAAGCAAGACTTGGTTGCTTCTGAGAAAATAACAGTCAACGAGTCAAACTGTCCTGATCATTCTCTCCTTTATTTTTATATGCAGTTATATTTACTCCATATGCTTCAAGCAAAAAACAGCAGCATAAACAGAAAAACACTGAAAAGTATAACCTACACCCCCATTCTCTCTGCTCACAAATACATAAAGCAGAGTAGATACTTGGGAAGGTGGAAGATATGCTATAGCCTCATTTATCATGTTTTTACATCCCACCCCTTCAAATTCTCATGAAGCACAAAGTTTAGGCTTTGACTAATATTCATAAAGGTATAGCTCAAAGATCTGCTACCTACTCTCAAAGTACAATTTAATAATTTTTAAAATATAGGTACATTCTATATTGCAGCTATTCTCAGGTAAACCATTTCAGGAGTAAAGTTTAAGCTTTCAAAACCTTCCACGAAAGGAAGAACTGTCAAGTATGCATCACATTTTATTAGCTTGCTTTCTTATTCAAATAAGAAAAAATGAATAAAGAACCATAGAACTTACTAAATACTCTAAATTCATCTAAATATTTCCTACATACAGTCATCTTTATTACCTCTCCTAACAGGAAAACCTATCCCCTTAAACACCAAGGTATACAGCAGCAAGTATGAACAACACACCCCAGTATGAGCAATGACACTAGCATATGAGGCTAACACTCTATGTTGGTGGTATTTACCACATTATATGAAACCCATCAAATTTTCCTTAGTATACCAACAAAACTATTCTTTTGTGAAATGTTACAAAGTACAGACAGCTGTAACTTCTGAGAACAAAAGCATCAGTAAAACATCTGACTTACCTGAACCAGAATAATTTATAAAAGAAACCCCAGTATTCTGTATAAATGCAGTGAACATCTTAAGCGTTAAGCAAATCTAAACCAAAAGCACATTACACCAAATGTTCAGAAAACAGGACCGAATATCCTGCCTACAATGCATTCTTAAATAAAATCAAATGCATAGCTTAATTTCTGACACAAAAGATCTATTTCAGAGCTCTGGAATACCAAAACAACTTCATGAATGAATGAATTCATACCGACACATCTTCCATATGCTCTCCTGTTGAGGAGTGACTTTTAGATAATTAAACTCCATTCCTACATTTCTTAATCTGTAAACATTAACTGCTAGAGAGCTAATAACAAAATGATACCAATGTAAAACCCAAAAATACCCCTATTTTTTGTGCAAGATCAGGGCCTAAGACTATAAAGAATGACTGAGTTATGGACAGGCCAAACAACTAAATGGCTCAACAGATTTTAATTGGTGGGTATACTTGCATTAGCATTTTAGTTTGCATCAGGAATGTGCTCTTGAATCAAAACTCCCACTTACCACATTCTGGTTCTGGTTACTTGGAAGAATACTGGAGAGCAAACAATTTTTCTTGCACTGAACTCCTCCAAAATATATTCTCCAGAAATATCTAATGGAAACTAAGTTCAGTCCATGGGACCAGACTAGAACTCCAAAGTAGAACCCCTAAAGCATAGGTAATGTAGGCACTGGATTATCAGCATCAACTATATCCCTCACAAATCTGCTACTATTGCATGGCAGTATTTGCTAATGTAGACACAGCCACCATCTGTTGTATACTTGCTTTCTATTAGAGAAGGATAATATCATTAAATACTACAAAATAAAAAATTGCTTTTATAATTATATTTGCCAACAAAGGCTCTCACCTGTACTTGTTCTGGAGTTTCTCCTGCAAAGTAAAAGATGTAATGTTCTTCACTGAAGTGCTGAACTACTATCTGAAAACAGTTTGGCCTTAAAATAAAACAAAACAAAAATGTTGGGAAAAAACCAACAAGAAAAGTCTCTACATGCTTCAAAAGTGAATTTTGGCAGGAATTAATTATGTAATTATGTAATTTCAAGAAAACTGCACTGCAGTTCAACTACTTTGTTTCAGAATATTTAAAAAACTTGGAACAATTTGTAATGAATATGCATGTACGTTGACTTACAGTTGAGGCAAAATGCACCTGATAAAATTAACAAGTCTTTTATGAGGTATATTCACCCCAAACACTTTAAGTGATGCACATGTTCAGCATTAGATTCCATTCACTTAATTGTGCATTATGGATTTGCTGTTTTAGGATTTCAGGAACCTATATTAACATATCATTGCAATAATTGTGCAGATTTTTCAAAATGATTGAGAAACGTATTAAAAATCAGATGGTACAAGAACACTAGATCTTTGCAGCTTAAGAAATGCTACTAATTTTAAACATCTATCTTCACATTATCTCTGTGAAAAGATTTAAGTTGATTAAATACTTTTAATAAATATTAAGAAATAACCAGACCTTCTGTTTAATGTGCTTTTCTATCCATTATGAAAAAAATAACATTTGTAGAAGCAAATGCATCTTTTTCTTCTATATCATACAGGACTGTGCATTTTTTTATAATTAACAATGAAAAAAAGTGTGACCTCTTTCATCTTAGTTACTAACGATATCAGGAAGCGGTTTGTTTCTCAACTTCTTTGCCAAAAATCACATCACTTGCAGCTGACATATTTAGTACAGTAAATTAAATTGTGAAAATGCTCTCTTGCGAAAAGACCAAAAAATTTAAAATATTTGCTTATACAAACTAACTTGCTGGTCTGATGTTGGTCTAATCTGATTCTTATTGATTCCTAAATAGAAAAGTACTGATACATTATGTAATTTAGCTTTCTAATACCTATCAACAAAAGAATGCAGATCTTTTGCAATTGACAAAATTCTTGACTTTATCAATTCTTGGTTCAATAAAATTAAAATACTT